CGGGGACTTCAATGCCAAGAATTTGGCATGGGGTTCCCGGGTCACTGATGTCCGGGGAAGGATGGTCGAAGACTGGGCTCTGGAGACAGGCCTAGTCGTGCTGAAACGGGGTTCTGTCCCCACGTGCATACGGATGCGGGGCGAGTCAGTGGTGGACATTTCGATTGCTAGCCCAGCTCTGTCATCACGCGTTGGCGACTGGCGCGTCATGGAGGAGGTGGAGACGTTTTCGGACCACCCGTATATACGGTTCGACGTTTCCGCCGAGTCCGCAGACCCGCCAGTCAGACAGGCCCCGATTTGCCAGCGTTGGGCGCTTAGGCAACTGGACCGGGAGCTCTTTCTGGAAGCCGCAGTCGTGCAGGCCTGGGTGATACCACCGGTCAGTCCTGCCGACGCCATGTCCAGGATGTGCGACGTGGCGATGCCCCGGATCCGGCCGTGCCAACGCAAGCGCTAGGTGTATTGGTGGTCGCAGGAGCTGGCTGCTCTGCGTGGTGAGTGCACTGCAGCGCGACGCCGATATACCAGGCACCGAAGGCTCCGTATCCGCCCTCTGGACGCTGAAACCAGAGAGGCGGAGCTGTACGAGGAGTACGAAGGCCACCCTAAGGGTGGAGATCCGGCGGGCCAAAGATCGGGCCCGCGAGGAGATGTTGGAGACTCTGAACAGAGACCCGTGGGGACGCCCCTACCGCATGGTGCGTGATAAGCTCCGCACCTGGGCGCCCCCACTGACTCAGAGTCTCCGGCCGGAGGTCGTGAACGAAGTGCTTGGGGCGCTATTCCCCCGACCACAGATAGGTTACACGCCTCCCACTATGTCTCCGCCCACTGCAGTGCCCAATGCGGGCTACAACGACGACGACGGTGAACCCGTTCCGGAAGTGACCGAGGTAGATTTGAGAGTGGCGGTGCGCCGGCTCAAAGAATACCGCCCCAGGACCTGACGGGCTGCATGCCAAGGTTTGGGTCCTGGCCTCGGAGGCTCTCAGGCCTCGACTAATTGGTCTATTCAGCGCATGCTTGGAGAGGGGCCAGTTTCCGCTGTCGTGGAAGATAGGCAAACTGGTCCTCGTGAAGAAGCCGGGGCGTCCTGCGGACTCTCCGTCCGCGTACCGGCCCATTGTGCTGCTCGACGAGGTGGGAATTAAGTTTCAAGCTAGTTGCATAACATATTAAGGTAGCTACAGCGTACAATGAAATGATACAAGTCTTACCTTACGCATCGTAGTTGTGTACTGTAACGCACGACGCACCTGTCCTGACGCACGCCCGAGACTAAAGAACCCGCGTCCCGCGTCGCCCGCGCTCTGTCCCGCGGGGAAGCGGGGTGCGTAAGAGCTGCGCGACTTGTATCACTAGGTACTTTGTATTTTTTGCTAATTTAGTTCTAAAACGCAATGCAGTTTTGATTCTACTATAATAATACCATTATTCACGTAACCATGTATCTTATTTCCCTTATGTTCTTACAAATAGAATTGATATTAAATTTGTAATCACATCAAAATTGGCTACATAAATAACGTGTAAATTGTTTGATTAGTAGTTGTATCATTAGTCACATATTTTTATGAAAATAAATTTGTGTTTGTATGGTTCATGTACAAATGTAGCACTTTTCACTAGAATGTATTGTTTAAACTTTTTAAAGTTTAGTGATAGGATTTCATTTGTATCACTTTGGATAATTTGAAGTAAAAGCTTACGCTTCGCGTAAGATGTGGTAACTCGAGTCGTATTAAAATACATTTTAGAAATATAAAGATCGCTTCGGAGCACTTTGTTATGAATCAAAAAGTATTATTTTACTCAATAATTTCGATAAAAAATTGCTTACTTATATCAATGAACACAAAATAAACTCTTTCAATTTTAATCTTATAACAACGGGGATAAGATTGAAATTAAGTTAATTTTTTTTTAATAACTTTAATCAGAGAATATAAAAACCGATCTGGGTCGACATGTATCACTTTTCACTGAAGGTACAGAAATGTAATCGACACTCGCCATCACTCGACTGTTATCTACATAAGTCTTGTGTCGCTACGTGTCTACTGACTGTGCCAACGCGAGTGCCACATAGATTTGTATTTTTCGTATAACAGACATTTCATTCTTCGTAACACCTGTGTAAAATTATTTAACCTCTGTCGTTTGTGTGCGTTTCTATTACGTACTTAAATTGTTAGATACTTGTACCTATATACTTTTATTATTCTTCATTACTTGATGTAGGGAGTAGATAGGTAACTATAGGTAATATGAATAAGATTTTTCAGAACAGGTTTTCTGTGGCGCTACATAGATATAAATACTTCTAGGAACAAAAACTACAATTAATCTGACAATCTAAAACATTCGGTTTGCAGATACGCTTTGAATGACGTATTAATAAATCCTATCTTACTAATATTATAAATGCGAACGTTACGATGTTTGGATGTTTGTTAGTCAATCACGCCAAAACGACTGGACGGATCTGGATGAAATTAAAGTAGCGGTAATGGAGGAATCCAGAAATGTCTGATCATCACCTGCAGGTCGTCTCTTACTCTGGGTTTTCATCTATCTAACATTGGACCAGATTATAAGTAATTAGTCCTTTCGAATCACTATACGGCGAAGTTGTCTTCAGCTAGTCCATTCATAGCGAAGTAGAAATGGAAGGAAGATGATTTCTTCTTATTAATTTATATTGGATAAAAATATTACCTTCTCAGAGTAATGGTGACTCCTTCCCTTGTGAATGGTTCCTCTCGCCAAGGATAAGGCGAGGGGGAGTGGTAGACTCTTAATGACTTAAAACCTCGCAATCGGCCCTGTTGGACCCATCAGTGATGGTTTCGTCACGTTCACGGTGGCAGGAGATTGTCATGCGGCGACTATGGCGTGAGGAGGGTAGTTGTCAGTTCCCTGAGGACACAGCTGTTGTAGGTAAACCCAAGCATGGCACACCGCCACTGTATCCTCTATCGTGTTTTCAGGATGGTTCTCATAATGACGACCCGCGAGCGTTTCCTCCCGCCGGGTCCGAAACAGTTACTTACCTACCGAAACTTCCGAATCCCTGCGTTCCGTGAAAGTGAAGATAATGTGGCGTCCCTGTAGCCACTTCTCAAAGAGAGGTCTCACCGCTATACTACATCAGGCAGCGTGCTAGAATGCTACACAGGTCATATTATTATTCCTTTTACTTCAAGGTGGGCTCGATAAGTTTCGAACCCCATGGAAGACGATATAATAAGCATGCAGTTCGCCATCGGGATCGTCGTCAGCCTGTCCGCTTGAAATATTTATTATATTTTGCTACAAATAACATAAAGATTTACCCATTGTTTGGATATAAATATCCGAGAAGAAATTGATAGAAATTTACTAAGTAGGTATAAGTACATCAATTTTCAATCCTTATCTGGATAAAATCTTAGCACTATGCCGTAGTGCAGTAGCTACCCCAGAGGCGCTCTTCGGGTAAAAACGATAAATAAGCATTTTCTACTTTAACATCGTACCTACATATATGTATAGGTAAAAAAATAAGAACAATGAAAAAACTTTCAGTAGGTACCTGCTTTAGCAATTTAAAAAGAAGTAAGTATGTATCTATATAGGTAATAAGATCACGAATAGATATTCGTCCCACCGTGATCTATATTTATATTTTTATTATTTATTTTATTTTACACTTCTTGCACAACGTACAATGGCGGACTTAACGCCTTAGGCGTTCTCTGCCAGTCTACCTTTGGGTGGTGGAGAAATAGGATCTACTTATATCTAGACAGATATACCTATGTTCTGTAATTTTTAATTTTTATTACCTTATTATTTATATATTTATGTACAGGGAGGGTCAAAACTGCAACTGCACTTGACCAATGCTGAAGTGTTTAAACATTTTTTATAGTGGCGGGCAGATTTTCCTTGACTTAGGTATTCTAGCATAGATTGTAAAGTAGGTAATTTTAACATGTCACGTTTATACACGATAATTTAATAAAAGAGGTACCTACAAGGAACTGCGTATGCGTGCATCCCATGATAGGTTGAATCGAATATTATCCCCAGATTCTTAGTTGTGTAAGTAAAAAGGATCACTGCACCATTCAGGCATAAAGGCTGCAGGGCCTCGGAGCCCTAAAGGGAGTTATGTACGGGTTGGTTTGCAAGATAAAGAACCTGGCCCACCTATCAAATCCGTTCAAGGCACGACTGATAGCATCGATACCTTTATTCGCTTCTGACCGTTTGAAGTGATAGTAAAGCTTAAAATCTTCTGCATACCAATTAGGGGAATGACAGGAGAAAGGACGCCATCCTGGGGCACGCTAGCAGAAATGTTTTCTTGCAACCGGATTAGTGTCGTGGTGGCTCGGAGGTTAAGGAGCCCGCTTCTCATGCGTGAGGGCGTGGAAACCTAGCAAGTACCAATGTGACTTTTACCGAGTTATATGTACTTTCTATGGTTATTTAGACACCTCTAACATACGGTGAAGGTAACCATCGTGAGGAAACCTAGACTTATATATAATTTCTAATTATAAGTTTTAAATCGCCAACCCGCATTGAGCAAGCGGGGTGATTAATGCTCGAACCTTCCCCGTGTGAGAAGAGGCCTTTGCTCAGCAGAGGGCACTTATGGGCGGATGATGTGATGATGTGAAACAGACACGCTGACTCCAAACATGCCTTCACAACCCCCAACATGAAATATTGAAATCTACGGAGTGGAAGGAAGAACTGAAGTCCAACCATTATCGTCAGTAATTTGAGCAAAGCCGCAACAATACTGTGACCAGGGTGGTAAGATTGAAATGATGAAACGAGGTTCTTATAGGCTAAATAATTCAGATTTTGCTTGCCATAATATACATATATGACTATAATCCAGAGTCCAAGTAAATATTTAAAACCGACTTTCAATAATTTAGTAAATCATTTAAACGCAAAACAAATTTTACAGATTTTTTACCACGGGTAAGTCGTTGCAATTCCTGTCAGCCAGTCAGATGTTGGCGGTACATCACTAAATGTCAAGTCAAGCTAATGTCCGCCAATATCAATATCGTCGATTTATAACTTTACTCCAAGCAAGTCTAAAATATAATTTTATTTTCATTGTGCTCATTAACAGTGTTCAAGATGATTACTATGGTTAGAAATGTGGTGATGCGTACGCATAATTTAATAAACAATTACCACACATTTAACATTTCTGTAAAGGTTAGGACAACTATACGATTTAACAGTACTGTTTCCGATGCTCTTCGGGCTCAGCAGAGAGCTAGGCCTAAAAAAGAACACGGCCAGGTTTTCAAATGGATATTATTGGTATGTATCTAACAAATATTTTAAGCACTGTGTTTTCTCCATTTATTTTTTCATTACCGTTGTGTTGTACATTACGGCTAATGTTTACATGTAAAAACTAAGGTGCAGGCTCTCGAAAAGCAGTCTCATTAGCCATACTACTTGTGATGATTACAATCAACATGTTTGTCCATGTCCATGAATTTGAAAAATAAGAAAAACATACTACCTTGCTGTTTGATTTTAGATGATTCCAGTTGGCTCTTTCGGTTTAGGGTGTTGGCAAGTGTACCGACTTCAATGGAAACTTGGACTTATTGAAATGATGCAATCTAAAACAAATGCAACACCTGTACCCATGCCCAGCGAGTTAGTATTTTGTTTCTTGTATTGTCCATAAAATTGAATCAATGTATCAATGTATTTACACATAGTAACAGGATATTATTCAATTCTATGTCATGCCCTCTTGTAGTATCTTTTTTATTTTATAAAAATATTAGAATAATACCTATGTAACTGAACAAAATAACTAAAAGCATTACCCAACTCGGTAACACAATTTCTAAAACTAGTGTATGGTTTGTTATTGATTACCTTGTATTAATTAACAACTTTTAAGCGAAGGTTTCATCACTGCTTAAAGCTATGCATTACTTATACATAACTCACATTGCAAATTTAAATAACATTATATAGAAATGCAGTGCACACTTTTACTAAATGCAACAATGGTTTTTCATCTGTTGAGTCTGAAGCTTTAAAATAAAATACCAATTACCATTACATGTATAAAAAACCATACACAATACTGGTGAGATTGAGAAAAATTGCTATTGCGATAACTTCAGTGTTTCATTGTTCTTTTCTGGTGTGTGTGGTGCTAACTAATATTTATAATAATTTTTAAATTATATATTACAGCTATTCAAAACTGGACAATATGGAATACATGCCAGTAAAAGTCAAAGGGCAATTTCTTCATGATAAAGAAATCCTTATTGGACCAAGAGCACTAATTGAACCAGGGTCACCATTCCCAAGAACAGGATCCTTAGTGTCTGATCCCAAACGCAATCAAGGATGGCTGGTAATAACACCGTTTAAGCTGGCTGAAACAGGGTAAGATTTTACTTTGAATATAAGCGGAAATATTTGATCAAGAAATTACTACAAAATAAATAAGTATAATAGGGTGGATAAAACTTTTAAATGTGTTCTAATAACTAATCACTGTTTAGTAATGTGTGTTAATATAACAATTATATTCTGTTCTCAGAGAAATAATATTGATTAACCGAGGCTGGGTTCACCAAAATCTAAAAGCAAAAGAAAAACGAGAACCGTCTATGCTGAAAGGAGATGTTGAGATAGTTGGTGTTGTTCGACTAACGGAAAAACGGGCACCATTTATGCCAAAGAACAATCCAGAAAAGGGCTCATGGTTTTGTAGGTAAGATTCACAGTTCTCGGCAGGATTTTTTTTTTTTAATTTTTTAATTAGTTCACTTTCAACATGCAAGACCCTGTAGGATGTCTGTATATTACATGGAACATCATTTGCCCTTGACTACCCCCCTAAACCCATTACACAATTTGTTTACCGGTGTGACCTATGCCAGATTTCTTGGTATATATTTTTTTCTTTTTGCTTGAACCATAATCAAATGATAGATTTTAATTTTCGCAGAGACTTGGAACAAATGAGTGAACACCTGGGCTGCGCTCCCGTTTGGCTGGATGCTAGAGGTATACCAGATCCGCCAGAAGGTTGGCCTATCCCAAACCAAACTAGAGTGACTTTAAGGAATGAACATCTTTCTTATGTTGTGACTTGGTATTCGTTATCATTAGTAACGGCATTCATGTGGCATCGAAGTTTTATTAGAAAATTACCTTTACTGTAAATATTTCTTACTTTAAGTAAGTTAAATGTATTTTTCAGCAATTATTTTTGTTCTGTAGTCAGTCAGGTAATGAAAAGTAATCATTAAAAGTTACTGTGTGTTACAGAAACTTTTAATTAACACACAAAAGTATCTCCACTGCCTTATTGTTTTATGTATTATTTAGTTATTGCAACTAAAGGTGTTCCTACATCACTAATGAAAAATATTAACAAAAAATATATGGAGTAATCGTAGCTAAAGGAAATTGACAGCAGTATTAGGGTGCAAGCACAAATAGAACCACTCAATCAATTCAATCTGAAGTCCAACAACCAAAGGGCCTACAAGTTATTGTTGATGTTATAAAATATAAAAACTGTAATTTAACATGGTGAGATAAAATGTATAATAATATTATTTTCTAATGTTTAGATATTAGTAAACAGAAGAATCAATAAAATATAATTTATTGTTACGCTAGTTTATTATTTAAAACTCTCTATGGCAACAGAAGGGTGTTATAAATTGATTTATGTCTCAGTGAAAAGGCTCGTTTTATGAAGCAAACCCCTCATTCACTTGTTCTGTATTCTGAGTTCACACGATGTTTGACTGACACTTCAAAACACGCGCGCGCACGGTGCAGTAAGTGTTTTTATCACTGTTGTGCAATTTTAGTTTTAAAATTGATCTTTTCCAGCCTGTACGTCGCTATTAAGTAAGTAATATCCGAGATAATTAATTTAATAATGCTTTCAGCAAGGCAACTCGCTAAATCCGTGCAAAACAACCAACGACTCCGATGCCGAATATGTGAACCTGATGACCGAGGCTTCCACATTTGTATCAAAAACAAATGCGGTCGTGCTAGAGTCCCGCCTAACTACTTACCTCCTATAAATCAACAATTTTGGATTTACCACGGTAAATAACAGGCATTGAAGCAATTTTAGCTTTAAAATCGTGTCAAGAGGCTTGTCTCCTATGCAGAGTAACTTAAACTTCGCCTACCCAAGGTCGCACCCGCGACGGAATCCCGCGCACCTCTTCCGTGTGTCTGCGCACCTCTTCCGTGTGTCTTCGCTGACCTACCCCACCACAGAACGGGTGAGCTGATTTTGCGTCGTCGTCGGCGACTAAACAAGCGCTATGAAGGCGATCCAACCATAAAAACCAGACCCATAAAATCTCGCATATAATATTGGTCAAGGATGTTCCAGGGTCGGGATGGCAATGCATTTCTCCCTCTACCGTCAAAAGATTAATGGCGAACTTAATTTTAATGAACAAGATAGGTATTTTGATATTTAATCTAAGAACTTACCCGGCGGCGGACTTTAAATAACAGCCGCAACTGGGCTTTGAATCGTTTCAGTTCTTGACTTGCATGGGTAGTTATGAAAGTCACTCATTGTTGACATTAATTGCATGCAACAGGCAAGACATTTGCAACGGCGTCGTCGCATTATCACGTCCAGCCGTGGCCAAACGCCCCGCGGTGAACCCCACCCGGTCAAACGGGTACACGCCGCTCTGTTCGCGTGAAGTCTGTTTATAGTTGGCACTGGGGCAGCGCGCGGTCCGCTCGAAACGCCCAGTCAACGCTAGGCAAGCAGCGAGTTGTCACCGATTGGTCCACCCGCCGTCAGCGTGTGAAGGGCTTAGAACTTTCTTAGTACTTTGTGGCTTAGAACCAAGGCGATCTGGCACCGCTAAGGACTTTATATAGAGAGCGCATGCCCATACAAGTCTGTAGGTATAAAGAATACTAGCCAGGACCTATTGACCTAGTTAAATGCAAGCTATTTTGAAGATTTGTCCAGCCAACTTGAGTCACATGGTGCCGGGTGGCTGTACTGTGACCTTTGCTATTATTGCTTTTTTCTTGCACAGTGGCAAACTGCGTGCTAAGGCTAAAATAGAGATAAACGTCAAAATTATCAACATACCTATTAGTAATTTCTGTGTAAGTTGAATCTAGTCATAATTTACTAATTTCCCCAGTATTTTTACAGACTTCAAAAAAAGGAGGAGGTATGTTTGGCTGATTGTTTTTTTTTTGTATGTTCACCGATTACTCCGCCATTTATGTACCGATTTTTAAATTATTCATCCTCAAAAATTTAACTTGGAATCTCTTATCACCGATTACTTGCTCTATAGCGTAACAAGTGTGAAATATTCGTTCGTTTTGTAAAGGTAAAATAAAAAACAGGTTTCATTCATTGAGATCTAATTGAACATGAAGATAAGTAAATCTTATAATACTTAAAACAGTTTCAAATTAATAATCTAGCTTTTGTTAAAGTGTAGTAAGATAATATTATTGAATGAGTGGATAAGAAGAAAGTTTTAGACAATAACCAGAATTCAAAGAACACTATAATGCGAACTTGTACTAACTATACTAGGTACTGTAATTTGATCCTTGATAAAACTGTAATACTGCAAGGCAGACTGGATACTATCCGGTCTGATCTACAGTTTTACAGTCATGTGAAGGCAGATAATTTCTTGGTGATACTACATGTTAATACCACGGTAAAATAATCTAAATTACAATATCAATACAATACAGATTTAGTGACTTAAAATGTCAAGAGGAAACAACCAATATTTATAATATTTAACTTAAGATCAATTAAACTTAAAAATAAAACTTGCCAAAATATTACATTCATATAAGTATCTATTCCTAATAAAATTTACACATAATATATGCATTCTTAACTTGTCAAATAAAACATTAATTTAAACTAAAATCTACAATCTTAAAATATATCGCCATGCAAAAACATAAACGTAATTATTAAAATGAATGTCTACGTTCTAAAACTAATAAAATACTAAATCATAATATTATATAATACAAATGAACTTGTAAATATACACTCAATCATTCGCTCACATCATCAAGGTGTTTACACACATAGACGATAGAATTTCACAACCTGCATGAAATACTTTTATCATCTAAGTATGTAAGCACACAATCAATTAGTAGGCAAGGACATTTCAAAAATAAATTACTATAATTTTATGTCCTTGAATAGCTTTAAAAACTAAATTTTAGATTTTGTCATTTCCCGATAACTGTTATCTTTTATAGAAAAGTTGGTATTTTTGTAGAAGAGAATAAATAACAAGTCACCGAGAGATGCGCGGGACAATAGAAAGTTCAACATAATGTTGATCAATTTAGAGATTTTAAAATCCAATTTTGTAGCTCCGCTTGATTCTTATTACCAATTGATGTTATAATTTCATAGATGATTAAAACTTAACTACACACTAATTTATGCCAAACACGTTACGATTTAGTAAGTAAATACTTTATTCCCTGCAACGGCCGCTGAATCCAAAAAGACTTGTTTCTGAACAGTATCTTCTTAAATGCATAATTTATTGCTTAAATATGTCAACTATTGCTTGTGCCCATGATAATACCACGTTGAGGGAAAGTGCCTCAACGATGAAGATAGGGGAAGTCACAGTAATAAACTTATATTAAAAAAAACCCAACACAAACTGTATTCATTAATACAAATTCTCTGGTCGAACCAATAATAGAATTTGCTACCCGAAACACATTATTATTCCAACTTTATCATACCTTGCCCATGGGCTATTCGCCATGCAATAACTGGTTCAGGTGATTATTTGAAAGTTGGTGATTTATTCTATTTGTTAATAGTACTAAATAGTTGTCTTTTAGTAAAATGGTTCATTGGGGTGCTTTCCCGCCTTATGATAATGTTATGTTATGGTTAACGTATACATGACAGAGGGAGGAGCATATAATCTTGAAATTAATTAAATGTATTATTAAATTACTTGTAGCAAATATTATCAGGTAGATGTTTTGTGTATGTTTTGGAATTAGATGACTTTCACTAACAAGTCCTTTCAAAATTAAAACGCCATCGTCACAGCCTGAATGAGGTGTTTACAGACCATGCAATATGAACGTGATGACGTGACATGAACACAGGCAATATGAACTTAAATTCAAGCGGGCAAGTCAAAATTTGAGACATGGATCTGCGGTACGTGCACCGGATCAATTTTGGGTGTGGTTTTGTAATCGCAAATTCCACATTCTTTCAGTTTCCACTCCCATCCCATAATTTGCACAGCATGCAGAGTTTGAGCTTCCGTGTGTTGACGTCGAAGCATTCCTTCCTGTAACGTTAATATATTGAGGTTATTTTACTACAATACGGTAGTTTCCAACTAGTCAAATCAATACTTTTAACCAAATGTCAAAATCGATACTTTTCTATGGAATTTGTATGAAAAACTGAGGTATGACGTCATAGTATTTTTGCGTCAAATAGCTTACTTAATTCTTAATAATTAGCTACAAAATATCGAAAACTTAGTGTATCGTTCGATCGATGAGTAAAACTATAGTTATTTTTCAATATTTACTGTATTGAAACGTCGAATTTATTTTTGACCTAGGAGACTAATTACTATACACAAAATGTAAACATTAGCAAAATTTGGTAAAATATTACCTTTATTTTTTCCCATTTATCGTCTACTTCTTGAAGCCATGAGTTGATTTGCCTGCCGTTACAGCGGGAACGTTGCGCGTTGCGTTTCTCTTCCTGATCTGGGGCTAACACGTTGTATACTTCTTTGTCTCGCAGTATCGTACATACGGAGAAAGGGAGAGACTGTTGGAAAAAAGACCATTAAAAATACAAAACACATTTCACAAATACATACCCTGATTCGTAAGATTTTGTTATTTGTAATGGCCTAAAAAAGTATTACTGAACTCAAAATTTCAGCAAAGTGCTCACTTAAATATGCAGGAAGTTCCCTGGTAAAGTTGGTAATGAGAATTTGGCCAAAAGATTAAATAGTTGAGGAAGTCGTAGGTTAGGTTCCCAAGTAATCCGAGATGATTAGCTTGCTCATCCAATGGATGTTGTATTTAGGGATCGTGCAATCCTCAGAGCACCTACGTGAGCGCCAAATTAGAGGCGGCGGTCGACTCATGCTGTGGTCGCGGCCCAGAGGGTCATGACCGATTTGTGGTTATCGACCCAAATTCTTATTCTTTTGTTTTGTTTTAATTTACCTGGTTTGCGACTGCCCGCTCGGCGCGCCCGTGAACGCGTAAAATTTCTTGTTCGACAGCCAATACCAATTTTTCTTTTTCAATAAGATGTTGAATCCGCAATCGTGTTCTGTTGAAAGTAGACAATTTATTAGAAATTACATCGAGGTAATAAATACCAAAATTAAAAATAAGATTTAAACTCACCTCTCCTTTTCCTGCGACATAAACTCATTAATCATCTGAGTTGGTAAATTATGAGGAATTTCCACTTGTGGATCGGGGTTTACATTACCCTGAAGGGTATAGGTACATCTATTCATTAAATATTTGTTAAAATCTTTTGGAGGTTTCGGTTTCACTGGAAATAGACTTCTTTGTCGCCGATCGATCTGTAATTAATT